TTCCTGATTCAACTGCCCCATCTGCCTCACCAGATATTCATGATAGTTACTATTCTTCCACCTGTGGAATACTCTTTTCCAAGTTTCAGTGTTTTTCCTTTACAGATCAAGGTAAGGACTGTTTAATCTCCTCCACACTATGGTAAATATGCTGTTTCCACATTATATTCAGTCCTTGAAAGCCATGAAAATGAGAGACTGGAAAATGAAGCACGTTAGCATAATGAGCATTGCTAACACCAGTTAGTTGGTTAACATTGGAAAAATCATATAATTTTGAAATTTAAAAAAATACTGCAAAAGCAAAGCAAGATGAAACTCCTACTAAATGATGGTAACACGTTCTGTGTGGGTTCCACTCATTTTAGCTAACTGAAATTAACATGAGACTATGATCAGCGCATATAAATCTCATCTCAATTCATCCTTCTAAAAATGTTAATTTCATTTAAAGTTTTACTTCCATATAAGCTGATTTAAAATCTATGCATTTAGAATTTTGAGACATAAAAGCACCAGATGCTTTTGATAAGCAGTAATCAATATTAAGAATATTAATTTACAAGAACATGAAGAAGAACATCTTGAAAACTTTGAAAGAAGAATATGGTTTGAAAGTCTTAATGTGCTGTGATATTTCCCAGAGTAATCATAAATGTTTTAATTAGAAGCAGGATGAATTTATTGTCACTTATGAGAACTTCATGATATGTAAGTAAGAAAAATTCTATATGGAAAGGAACATTTTATAAACATTTCAGAGCAGGAAAGTGATATGAAAGAAGCAGAGACACACACACAAAAAGGGATTTCCGATCCTATCCTAAGGCAAATCTGTGATTCTGTTTGATCACCCAGACTGAGACAGAGTAAATGAAATATTAGATTTATGAGTGATACCTTTTAAAGTATCAATGACCTTGATGAATGTTTCAATTTTTTATAGGAGATGCTATTTTAAATACTGTAAGATTCTGCCAGACTTCATTTTGTCTATTTAATAACTAAACTTACAGAGGAGGATACAATGTTGTTATCCTCATGCTGGTCCCAGGATATTAGACAAGATGCGTGAGGTAATAATCTATTTGTGGGCCAACTTCTATTGGTGAGAGAGACACACTGTTGATCGTACACAGAGCAATTGCTTCACGTCTCACCAACAATAAAAGGTATTACCTTACCCACCTTGGCTACGTCTAGACTGGCATGATTTTGCGGAAATACTTTTAATGGAAAAGTTTTCTGTTAAAAGTATTTCCGCAAAAGAGCATCTAGATTGGACATTACAAAGTCAGTGTTCTTGCGCAAATTCAAGTGGCCAGTGTAGACAGCTGGTAAGTTTTTGCGCAAAAGCAGGTGCTTTTGCACAAAAACTTGCCAGTTTAGATGCACCCGTTGTGTTTCTTAGAGAGGAGAATCAAGGTTACATTAGTCTCTTTTGTTCACAGACCTTGCTAGAATGTAGTTTAGTCACTGACAATATTGAATTTTCTGATTCTTAAATATAACTTCAAATTTTGGAGTTTCCACGTCTCTGCCTCATGCTGATGAGTGACTGGGACTTCAGAGTCCCCAATTCAGATAGCACACGCTTTATGTGCTGAATTGCTTTCACGGCACCTCTACCTTATTCCACCTCTACCTTATTCCCATCCTATTTCCAAATGTGGGGAAAAATAAACAATAGCACTTATTTGTCAATTGTATTTTCAAATTTAAACTCTGCTGTGTGTCAAAATCTTTTAAGCTCTCTTTGAAGAAAGTTGCTCAGCCCAATAACTCAACTTTTCTCCTTGACTCTGAATGCGGTTTTGAGAACCTTCTTCTTCAGTGTTGTGGCAAACTGAGGCCAAAATGAATTTTCCAAGTGATTGGTTTCAAATACAGTTCTCCACTAGTTCTTTCACTTTCAGTATAATCAAACCCATGATCCACTTTTAATCTAGTGTGATATATATATATATATATATAAAACTATTTATTGTATCAATACAGTTTAATATGTTATAGCAAGTGTGAAATGTTGTCTGCAGCTGGAATATTGGGTAACAACAGACATCCTAATTAAGTGACAGTAGCATAGTCTCAAGATATTACTGAGTACACACTGGTATCAAGTTTCCATTAAAAAGTAATGACTAATCAAATAGATCTCAATCTCTTAGATTTAGAGCTTTTAAATAACCTTTTCTTTAAAGAAACACATCTGAGATTTTACAGCATTGCTGCAGAAGATAATACCAAGCACAAACATTATTTAATTAAATGAATGCCTTTTGCATTGGCAGCCTGTGGACAGTGCTAATGATTTTGGCTTCTAAAAGCTGAATTGGATAGCATAGCTGCCGTGAAGACTGTGGCAGCTTTTCCACTACAACCTTCCAATTCTCCAGACTTTATAACCCAGACAGAAAATTTCATTTCATGCTGGAACTTAAGTTAAAAGACTCACTCTGGGAGTACTGTTTCTCCTCCAGATTTATGCTAAAACATGTATGTGCAGACATTTTAAAATAGTAGAGCTGTACAAATAAAAACAACTAATGTGACTGTTTGACTCACTTATGCCATCAGAAATCAGAAATAAAATCAGAAATTAACTAAAACTGTAAAATGAACTTGAATTTTTAGTTTTGTCCCACAGCTTTGAGCACTGTGGTTCACCACTCTTGGTTGACAGGCCAAATGTGCTGGCTGAGGGACTTCTTGAAGTCTGTTGATGGCTTTTTAGTTCTTGCAGAATTTATACATTAGATTTGTTTTAAGTTAAGCTTTTAGGTCCAATTTAGGAAAGCGCTAATATTAAAAGATGCTAAAATCCCATTTAAGTCCACAGACTTAAATTCATGCATAGGGAAAATTTAAGCATGAACATGATTAAATGTTTATCAGAACCAGACTCCTAGCCCTTGTGACCTGACCCAGATGTGTGCTGTCTAATTGAATCTGTAACCAAACAAACATAATGGTTCAAATTCACTACTGGTATAGGCAGAAGCAATTCTACTTCACCTTTATGTCGTTGTGTCTAATTGGGTGTTTGGGGGTTATGGCTATACTGTCTCCATTCATCTCAGTTTATTCTGAAGCCTAATGGCAAGCACTGAAATCATAATACATTATTGCTGAGTATTATAGGTGAAATCTCCAGCTAATATGTTTTTCCAACATGGCTGAATACCATAAAAATTAGATAGTAGAGAAAAAGGCATTTTAGGTGTGTGGTGTTCCACTTGAAGCCCCTGGACCCAGTTTCTCTTTCTGATGAAGCAGAGCACTAACAAGAGAAAGTAAATAGCCAGATAGATTTGGCATGGGTTCAGCAACGGGTAGTCGTGAAATGTTCATTTTGCAACTGATTATGGAAGTCTCAATACTCTGAAAGTTTGAACCCTCTCTGGACTCTGAGTATCTGGCAGAATATTATTGCCAGGTGTTTGGTACAGAGATTCTTATTTGTAGCTTTCAGTGGAAGCTTAAAATCTTTTTTTTCTAGCTTCTGGGAAAGCAAGAAGATGAAAAGCAATCTAGACCTACATTTGCAGCTGCTAGGGAAGCATGAGAAGAGACGTAGCAAAGGCTGTTCTGTGTCACTAAACTTTTGTCCAGCCATCTTGAGTGAAATTACCTTTTCTACTTTCTGATAGGAAAACATAAGATAAAGAAACAACTGTGATAGTTATCTTTCCACTTAATGATTCAAGAAGAAGCTTCAAGATTTATTTGCTCAACAGCTCAGAAAACTTTCAAAGAATAAAATATTCAGGTTGCTTGCAGATCCATTTTCAGGTAAAGCAGAAAGAATTTAGATCAAAGTTCAGGTAATAAAGAGTGCCTTACAATTCTCCAATCCAAATCTCTTAAAAGAAGTTTTCTCAATTTCTACAGTTGCTTGTTGAATGTCTGATATCCAGTGTTATGTGAGAGAGCTGCTATTTATGCAAGTTTACATGCACAAGCAACACTCTATTAATAAAAAATATCTATTAGCTTCATTTTTTTAGAATTAGAACTTCAGAAAACTGAACTTCCATCCCATGAAAAATTCTGATATTTCAACACTTGCTTTTATCCCAAAAAGTTGAAATTCAAATTTCTAGTGAAACTAAATTTTGAAAATTTTTAGTTTGGAAATGTCTAAATAAACAATCTCAACATTTTTATGAAAATAAATATTTTGTTTTTTTACACATTGATATTCTTGCCATTTCGAAGTGTAAAAATATATTTGAAATTAAACATTGTTTCCATTTTTTTCTTGAAACTGGAAAATTTCACTGAATGTTTTTTCCCGTGAAACACTATTTCACTAGAAAATATTTTCTTCTTAATTTAATTTATACTTCTTTTAATACTTGTTTTGTTTGGAAATTTTTTACTGTAGAAAAAAATTAATTATCTTTATTCAGAATAAAGTTCATTTGCATGTATATGTAAGAGCAGTTCTTGAATTTGTGTTAACTTAAACAATGCAAATTAGGTGCTGCAAATATTGTGCACCACCTACTATAGTAGGCAAAAATAACTTCTTACAGCTTTCATTATATTAATTTCTCTCTTTCTGGATCCCCTATCCTGAGTCCTTTGGAGCTGGAGGCCTTCAGGGTTGAGAAGATCACCCACAAGAAAAGAATAGGAAGAGGAGCCAACAGAAAGGAGAATGGAAGATGTCTCAGATACATTGATTTGGGAGCAGGAACAAATGGATAAGTCTACAGAACTGAGACTTGCCAAGAACTGGGGTGACACATGAGAGCACAGAAAGAGGCCAGGGCAAGGTAAGAAGTGGTCAGGGGAATTTGTGCACTCAGGCATTGACTCCCTATTCAAGGATCCCTTCACCAGAACCTAGCCAAACGAGGAAAGTGTAGCTGAAATTCCCTAATGAGGAGTGCAGGACAGTGAATACTCCCCTCCCCTGACACCAGGGTTTAGGACCTGTGAGTCTGGACTCTGATAGAAGGTCCAATGTGAATTGATCAACTTTTGTATGTGGGACTAATGGTCTACTCTGGTAAGGGCGGGATTCCATGTGACCCAGATGTAGGGCCAAGTTGCAAGAAGCAGCAGACCATCACTGAAACTGAATGAATTTTGGCAGGGGGCAGATGCAGAGTCATTAGGGAACCTGTGCTGGCCATGCTTTCATTACAATAAATATATATTCATTAATTATAAAAGCAGGCACTGCCTATGTAAATAACAAAACTGAAGTATTAATGCACCAAGGGTGAAGAAGTACATTACCTTAATTTTATCAGTTAGACCACCAACAAACAGCACGGCATTTACATCTACATCCAGAATAGTATAACCAGGTGGAGAGACTGCGCTGAAGGTACTCGGCACAATGGTAGCTTTGGGACCATCAAGAGCTCGTACTGAAATTGTGCCGTTTCTTCCAGTCCTTGGAATTGAACCAAAGCAAGCAAACAAACAAATAAAAAAAATCTGCTATTAAACCACAATGAATAAAAGCCTCATATTTTCTAGCTATCATTGACAAGTGACATGCACTACTAGTCCTTTTGTACTTATTATTCAGTTTTCAATATCAACCAGAAGAGGTTTCATAGCTCTCATATACCTGTGCAAGCACCAAATCTGATCACACAACAAATGTTTATTCTCACCTCAGTATCCTTTCTGCATATAATTAATTATATGCATCCATGTAGGTGGTGAATTCACCCACTAAAATAGAGAATCTTCTCTTTTGATAATTACTATGACCAAAATAGTACAGTGTAAATGTATTTTGACTTTACAAATGAAGTAGGCTATGATTCAAATTCATTTCTGAATTTCATATGGTGTATTGGATTAATTTTATTCCTCTAAAGTGGATGATCATATAACAAAGCCCTTTAATTTACTTCATTGTAATGCAGGAGACCTGCATCCTCCACAAAGGAGCTCCCTGGTTGATTAATACACTCAGGCACAAGCCCTATTATGTTTAAAATGGCTGCCTCGTTGTGTTTCAAATTGCCTTTTTATATATTATAATATGATTTGCCGCTTTGTGAACAGTTTTTTCAGCGTTTCCTGTTTCTGTATTCAGAGTCAGAAATAAATGCAGTATCTCAGATATTGGTGTGATAAACTGTTGGCCAATACTTACAACTTAATGGAAACCAATTATGAACCTTTGCATCATAAGGTATGAACTCCTCTGAGATTATTAGCCTTATGGAAAGGTTAATACAAAGGGTTAGTTTCTATTAATTTGCAGTAGTGTCTCAATATTATACCTAATGTATGTTCTTTTGGATTCTACCTTTGGCCTTGAACTGTCACATGTGAACTCCTACATCATCAAGAGTTTATATTCATGTTAAAATAATTGAAAATGTAAAACTCCTAAGTTGGCAATTAGATCTTGGATTTCACATATGAGCAATGTCATGATAACATGGACATTCTTAATGTGGCTATATGATCATATAATCCTAACAGACAGAAATATGAATTCATTGTGTTATATGGAACATATTTATCTCATATTATCTACGATTAATAGAAAAACATAGTGCTTTTACTACAACTTGTCTTTTTCTTAACAGTCCATGTATAGTTTCACCCACTCCTGCTTACTTCCTACATCTGTCAAGAATTATTATTTAGCTAATTGATTAATATTTAGCAATTCATCTTCTGTGGGCTACCCTATTGTAATATAAAACGAATCCAATTTTCAAGCAAAACTAAATGGTCTTTATTCAAAAAGCAGAACTGATATTTGCATTTCTGATACAAGAAAATTTCTGGACAGACAGAAGTAATGAGACTGCATTTCAACTAGAGCTGTTCCAGGTAGCATTTCTAGTTTGAAAAATAGCCACTGACCCCACCCTTTTCTCATATCTCAGCTAGCAAATCAAAACTTTGTTTTTACAAAGTATCCTGAAATCGTCTGGATTTAAACATTAAGAAAATCAATTTTTTCTCATTAGAAGAAAAGATGTCTGTGAATGCTGAAGTAAGCAGTAAACTAAAGAGTTACTACTCAGATAGAGCTGTCATTAGTGCTATCTGATATCTTACTTCAGGCCCACATCCAAAGTACAGTAATGAAGCCCATACATTACTTTAAGTATGCAAATAGTCTCATTTAAGTCAGTGGAACTACCCTTGTGTTTGAAATTACACATGGGTTTAGGCATTCTGCTAAATCAGGGTGTTGCAGAGGGGTGAAGAAAGAGAGCCAGTCTTCTGTAAATCCATAAATCTCATTTCTATTGAACTCTGAATTTTATTTCCTCAAAAATGTATAGACTTGTGAATCCTGTACTTAAAAGGGTAGAAATAGTCAGTACAGGAACTGGAGAAAGAACAATGTGACTATAAGGCTTTTATTAAACCACTCAATATTTCAAATGGCAGTGTACAGAAATCAGTATTCAGTTAAACCAGAGTAAAAAGACTAATTCAATCAATCTGAACGCAATGAGAAGACTATGGCACACATTTTTATGTGCTCTCACATATCTCACAAAACATAGGGGATATTGTCAACTAAAGTGCTAACAACAGAGCCTCCTCAAATAACTCATTTGAGAAGGGCTAGTGAGGTTTAAGGGAAGAACAGCTGACTAATATGTCAGTATAAGAGACATTAATAGGATTTGAATGATAATTTGTAAGTGACAGCTGGGTTCCTCTGAGATGCTTGGCAGACTTGAGAACATGTACCAGCACATTGGTAACTGACAATCTGAAAAATGTACACTGCACTATTCAAAAATGCATACTATTTAAGAGATGCATGGAGCAAGAGGACTTCACCTTACATTAGCCATCAACATCTGAATAACTTTGGTGGCACCCACATATGAATCCTTGCTCTTTGACCAACTTGTGTGGAGAGTTATAAGGAGCAAGTTACTGATTGTGCTGGCGGTAAAGAGCATGTGCCTAAAATAAATGTCTACTTTTATACCAGTTCTTCCCCAAAGGACGAATATTCCAAACAGAAAGTTAAGGTTCCCTTAATGGAAAATAAATTGCTTAAACCTTCTAAGTATGTAACAATGTTTCAATGTTCTAAGTAATATTAACGACGTGATATCTAAAGAATATTTGAGTAAAACAAGATTTAGACTAGAGTTAGACTGTGGGCTGATTAAAAACCCACTGAAGTCAATGGGGATCTTTTAATTGATTCTGTTGGACTCTGAATCAAGTCTTTAACGCATTTGATTGTGTCACAGAATTAACTGCTCTGTGTATTGATAACCTGGTCAACATTATTGTGTTAGGGATACAACAGTGATACAGATTAAAGGTCTTCAGTGTGTGTTGCCTCAATTTTTCTTTAAGAATATAAAACCGGTCCCGAGTTCTTCATCTTGATCCTTAAAATCCAACTAGTGTCTCCACAATCTGATCCTCCTAAACATTGCTCCACTGCTCTGATTTGTGCTACAGTAATTGCTTCCCTTGCTGATGTAGCAGTTTGTTCCAGTTGTGTTAGATCTAAAGCCCTATATATCATGAGATGCAGCTTAATAGCCAATGTGCATTTGTAAGATGTCTGCATGATGGCCTGCCTCCATTTTCTGCTGAGATAGTTTTCCTGTAAATTAAAGTTCTATACTATTTCAGTATGCATAATATGAACTCCAACAGCATTCACCTGATGAAGATCTTACATATGTATCTCAATTTGTGTTTTCCCAGCTATAAGATTTAATTGAGCCATCTTGGTCACTTTGCCATAATTTTATTTAGCTCTCTGCTTTGAATGGCTAATTCTGTGATTTCATTACATTGTTTTCCCTCTTCTGAAAGCTACAGATGTAATAAAAATTAAAACTATATTTTCTTCCTATTTCATTTGATGACTATTTTATCTTTTTTTGTGTTTAACACTATGTAAAATTAACATATTATGTTGGGACAGGATTTATTCAAATTAGGATTTGTGTTCTTTATCAGATTTCATTGGATCTGAGATTACATAAATTACAGGGTTTTGTTTAGCACTAACAAACAAAGGATACATAATATACATAGCGCACACATGCAGCATGGTTTGCAATTAAAATATTACAGCTCCCTTTGCAAATAATTAGTGCTGATATGGTATTCTTTATGCATGTATTATAGTGTTCCTTATGTTAAGTGCAGCTATGTTCTCTACTTGCCAAAACAAAAATTCTGAAGATTTTAACAGTGTCTACTCTACAATAAATATATAGTATGGACAGAGATTCAAAAACACCTATTTTTTTTAAACCAAACTATTTTTTTGCCTTAACTGCCATACCAGATGGTATGCACTTTAGGAAAATATTAATATAGTACCTCCAAATATATGGATCAAGAAGTCAATATAACTTTCAGGTATTAATTTATCTAAACGTCTAAAATGTTTTTTTTTAAAAACCTTTCAACACCTTCTTTTTTTCAAAACATTTAAAAAATCTGTGTTGTTTAAACCGAGCAAAATCTTTTAAGTTTGATTTTCCATAAGCCACATCTTTTCTAATGTTTTCAGACTGAAGAGGCATTGTGCCTGTTAGTTTCGTGTGTTGAATGACAATCAAAGTATAAGGATGTGACAAGCCACCCTTCCCAATACTTTATCAAACCAACGGGTTTTGAAAAGACACAATTCATTGAAAGCCAAAGAGAAAAATATAGTTTTCAGTTTGAGTGCAAAAATAGCCTTTAACTTTTAAACGTTTTAAAAATAACTCTGTGCTAATGAGTAATTTGTTTCACATTATTATCAATATTTATTTATATTATAATCATGCCCACAGAACAGTGCAGATGAGATGACATATACATACGATAATACAGATCCTGACATGAAATGACTATGGATAAGCAAACAGACAAAAGGTAGGGAACAGGAACAGTACATACAATTGAATTTTTTAGATAATCTATCCCAACATTCTTGTCTACCAAACCACTGTTTTTTGTCTAAATTTTTGTAGGCCTCGTGGTAGAAGTGTGTTATTAGAAGTTTGGAGGAGAGAGTTGGTCTTTCATATGAGATGAGAAAAGCTTTTCTCAAGAATTTGAAAGAAGTGAAAGTTGGGGTAAGACTGGCACCACTGACAGAGTAGAGGGCTGGGGGTTCATATAAAATACAAAAGTGGCCAAGAATAGAGGGATAGAAATATGAAGGGTCTTAAAGATGTTGAAAAGAGGCTATATACCATGTGAGTAAAACCAGGGAGCTTTTAGTAGTTGGATTTTGTATGAACTGAAGGAGGAAGGGTAGAAGTATCTGGGTAAAAGCAGACTATGGATATTGAACATGTGTTGTATATTTCAATAGCAATCAGAGAGAGAGAGAGTAACACAATTATAACCTCTTTGGCTACAAACTCTCTACTAACAGGCTATTGGACACGGGCTTCAAAAATCCATTAAGATGGATTACATTTATCATCTTCAAAAGTATCTCTTTTTTAAAACTACTGTTACAAGTGATATATTTAATAATGTGACTCTGGGGAGAGTGGACCCAATGGTAGCTTACTAAGTTTCAACCTTTTTTTCGGCGGGAGAGGGATAAGAACTATAGCTTGGAAATTAATTGATTACTTGCCTAGAGGCTTCAATCCGGTACCAAGATGCATCATCAATGGTCAGATCTGGATACTCAACGCGTCCAACACCAGATCCCACATCCCACAAGAAGTTTACCTTGCCTTTACGCATCTCTATGGCCAAGAAGTCAGTCTAAAACATAAAAATAAAATAAAATAAAAAATAAAACAAACAAACAAACAAACAAAAAACAACTATCTATGTGATAAAGAAATCAAATACTTGCATTAGAACAATTCTTATAAATCCCTATCCCTCTTCAGGCTTCTGAAGATCATTAGTAACCTAATGGATCTTGAGATGAGACTCATGCTCACATAACAAAATTTGAACAAAGAAGTCCATGGGAGTCCGAAGTTCACACTTCCATCTCTTAGCCCCATGCTCCCATCTTGGTAAGTGATGTGTGTCCACACAATTCTGGCTCATTGACACTGAAATACTTTACAAACATTCACTAGGTTGGCAATCTTACAATGGAAAATGTGAGTGTTCTATGGGTTGATACACACTGCAATCCTAAATCTTCATTTATAGTGGGAAAATAACACACAGCTCAAGATGTTAGGAAAAGAACACTTTTTCTATTCAAGAAATCATTATTGATGATTCTGGAAGCCCGTCTGCCAAAGGGCTCATGGACAATTGATTCTTTCATCACTACACATTCCTGAAGTTATAGACTTGAGCTAAAGTCATAGTAAGCAGAATCTTTGACAGATTTAAGATGATTAGCTGCTTCATTCCTAAGGGAAAATACATGACAAACAAATAAACAAAATCATCGCAGTTGCATTACTGCTCTTACAAATTTAATGCCATTCATATGGGTGTCTCAAATTTGATTCCTAGCAAAAATATAATATATGTGCCATCTATGTTATTTCTAAAAGCCTATATTAATATAATATAATATAATATAATATAATATAATATGAGAAGCAGTAACTAATGACCCAGTAAATGTCCAGGTTGTATGTGTTTTTCTGAAGCCTCTGGGGAGAAACAAACTCCTCTTTTTTGTATGTCAGTGATCCAATTTGACTAAGAAACTCTGACAAGAGAAAACTGAAAACCAGACTTACAAATTTGGCACTTCCAAGATAAAAAAGAAGGTTGTCGGCTACTGCCGTCTTCACATTGACAATGACAGTGTTGTAGCTTCCTTTCTTTATTTCCGGTCTGTATGTGCGAATGCAGTCACCTCCAGAAGACACAGAGACTTTGATCTTCAAAGAAAACAGCAGAGAGAACCTGAGTTATAGCCTCATTATTCCAGAAATTCAGAATAACTGCAAATGGATTGTGCCTTTGTTTCATTTCTGTTTCACACCTGTTACTAAGGACTAGGCCCTGATGCTCACCACCCACTATCTGGGACACTGAAATGTAATTTTCTTGTTCAGAATTAAGAATTATTAGAGTTAATTAAAGTCTGCCAAGAGCAGCTGTGGTAGTTCAGAAGGTGAAGATATTAAAAAGATAGCTAGATAAAAGAATCATAGTGACAATATCTTGACCTGTACGGCTGCTCTATTTAAATAGCATTAATTATTATTATTATTACCTTGCTCCTATAATAATATAAGAACGGCCATACTGGGTCAGACCAAAGGTCTATCTATGCCAGTATCCTGTCTTCCAACAGTGGCCAATGCCAGGTGCCCCAGAGGGAGTAAACAGAACAAGGAATCATCAAGTGATCCCTCTTCCATCATCTATTTCCAGCCTCTGACAATAAGAGGCTAGGGACACCATTCCTATCCATCCCAGCTAATAGCTATTGATGGACCTAACCTCCAAGAATTTATCTAGTTCTTTTTTGAACTGTGTTAAAGTCCTGGTCTTCACAACATCCTCTGGCAAGGAGTTCCATAGGTTGACTCCTATGGATCTGGTCAGATCTGGAGGGCACGGGGAGGGCAGCTGCTCCAGTGGTCGGGGCAAGCACCACATGGAGAGTGACTCTGTCCCTCTGCTCTGTCTGCAGGCTGGCTTCTCTCTGTGCCCCTTCCTCTCCTTGTGGCCAGGGCACGTTAGCTAGAGACGTTCACTTTTCCTCCCTTCTTCCTCTTGGCCATAACCCCCCTTCTTCTGCCCTGCCTGATCTACCCCTTTGACTCTCTCCTTGGATGGTTGCGAGCTCCTTCCAGACTCCAGCTGTATTGCCATTAAAAAAAAACATCCAGGTCCTGAAACTGAGCTATATCTCGCCAAAATGCAGGCAGCGCAGTCCTGGCAGTCATCTTATCAAGACACCATTTGTTTTAAGTTTTCCTTTCCTTTCCTTTCCTTCTTTAAAATAAACCCAAGGCCAAAGCCAAAACCAGATCACAGCAGAGGGGGATTTTCCTTTCATCCCACATTCTACTTTGCAGAGTTGCTCAATCATTTTACTTGTGGCTAAAGTGTTTGCAATGTTTCTTGATCTTAACACCAAAGCTGAAAAATATGAATGTGCAGGATGTGTCAGCACTGACAGACCTGTTAACTACTGCCTCTGTAATTCTGGTTCAATTGAGGAAAAAGGTTTAGAGAATAGTCTTTAAAAAAAGTATTAACAGCTAGATAGCGATGTGTTATGTATGATATTTTTAAGGTATAAAGTGAATACTTTGGGGGGAGAGGAATAATAATTTTAAAAAATCCTTTACAGGACATGTATTGTATGCTTACAGATGCAAGGTAAAATAACACGTGACGACTTAAAAAATCAATTACCAGAATAAATATGCAAATAAAGTAATTACCATAATGACTATGCAAATGTTTCAATGCCAGTTTGCTCAAAGTTTTTGAATGAGTTTGCCTGTCTACGGTGTAAAAAAGCTTGGGAACCACTGAATTAAGGGAACCCAATAGCTCACTGAGGACAGCAATTAGGACTCGTCAGGGTTTGTGTGTCATGTGCAAGAGGTGTTTTGGGGACCCTAAAAAGTTTTGGTGTTTTCATCCATCACTGAGTTCTAATCAACTTATATATGTATTCCATATTTGTCTCAGTGGTGTATGCTTTTAGTGGGGTCCTACTGCAACCTCCAGACAAAGATTTGAAATATTTATTGTACATTCAGAATGTTTAGGAGCCTGCATGCTTGCAAACATTTATATATGTTTCATTAGAGCTTTTTATGAACCCGGAAAAAATTTTAAAGGATAAAAAGATCAAGAACAATAAAAGAACATGGCTTAGTAGTTAGCAAACACTTTGTCTGGAGACTGAAATAGGACCCCATTATGAGCATATACACCTGAGAGAAATATGGAATGCAAATAACAGTTGATTAAAATTAAATGATGCATGAACGCATCAAAACCTTTAGTGTCCCCCAAAACATCTCACACATCACACATACAGACACTACCCAATCTTCTAGAGATGCATACTCGTTTCTGGCCCTGTGGACATAGTGCTATATGAAATTGGGCAAGTCATTTCATTTCCCTCTGTGTTAGCTTCCCCAACCACACAACCAAGATAGCAATAGTGTACAGAAATGCTGATAGGTCAAGTTCTTTGAAGTCTTTGGATGAAAGATGTATTATAGGGGGAAAGTATGATGATTATGATTAATCTGCCCTTTTGCCTTCCCAATAGTTCTATGAGAATTTGAAATGTGCTATATCATGACATGATTCCATTATTATGCACACATTCCTTTCAGCCATTTTCACTCCAGTGTGTTGAATTTGAGTTTTATGGGAGATTTATTAAATTTTCATGTTTTAGGATTTTCTTTACACTTTTCCTGACTGTTGAAGGTCAGAAGCTAAATAAGTTTATTACAACTAGTCAATCCCCGAGTTTAAAAAGATAATTATATTGAAGATACTGACTTGGACCTCAGTAACCAGGTAAGGAAATCTGCTCTTGCCAAAAGAATATTGATCTATTCAATTGTTACCAATTGAAATAGATATCATGAAAATGGGACAGCAAATGTATGTTGCATTTTCAGTGAGCTTGAGACGGTCTAATCAGGAGGCCAAAAGCAGTCAGATCTGCTGTTACCAAACTAATATTTTACACAAGTAATGCAACTCCTCCAAAATTAGTTTTTTAATACTTATGCTGAGTCAGAGAACATCTACCTTTTTGGTTTCAGTAATAATTTTTGTACAACTATCAAATGAGGTGTACTTTCTTCTTTGTGATCCTTTTCACTACAAAACATTGATAACCTCCCCAATAATACCATCCTTGCCACCATGGATGTAGAAGCTCTATATACCAACATCCCACATGAAGACGGATTACAAGCAATTAGAAACACTATCCCAGAGGACACTACTGCCAACCTGATAGCAGACCTATGTAACTTTGTTCTCACCCACAATTATTTCCAGTTTGAGAACAACTTATACCTCCAGATCAGCGGCACAGCCATGGGTACACGCATGGCCCCACAGTATGCTAACATCTTTATGGCTGACCTAGAACAACGTTTCCTCAACTCCCGTCCCCTTTCACCCCTCCTCTACCTACGGTACATCGATGACATCTTTATGATCTGGACACATGGCCAAGAAACACTGGAGATATTCCACAGAGATTTCAACAACCTACACCCCACCATCAACCTCAGCCTGGACCATTCTACACGAGAGATCCACTTCCTGGACACCACCGTACAAATCAACAATGGAAAATTAGACACCACTCTCTACAGAAAACCCACTGACTCATACAGTTACCTACATGCATCCAGCTCCCATCCAGAACACACCACACGATCCATCGTCTATAGCCAAGCCCTTCGATACAACCGCATCTGCTCTAACCCCACTGACAGAGACCAGAAGCTTCAGGATCTCTACCAAGCATTTATAAACCTCAACTACCCACCCGGAGAAATAAAAAAGCAAATTGAAAGAGCCAGACGAATACCTAGAAACCATCTACTTCAAGACAGACCCAAGAAAACCAACAATAGAACACCACTTGTCATCACCTACAACCCCCAACTTAAACCTGTCCAACACATTATCAATAAACTACAGCCTATATTGGAACAGGATACCATACTCAAAGAGGCTCTGGGAGACAGACCCATAGTCTCCTATAGACAACCACCTAACCTCAAGATGATTCTTACCAACCACCACAGGACATACCACACTAATACCAACCCTGGTACCTTCCCTTGCAACAAACCCCGTTGCCAGCTTTGTCCACATATTCATTCTGCTGATACCATTATTGGACCTAACCAAGTGAGTTATAAGATCAAGAACACATATTCCTGCGCATCCAGAAATATAATCTATGCTATCATGTGCCGAAAGTGTCCGTCTGCTATGTACATTGGACAAACATCTCAGACACTTCGCCAAAGGATTAATGCCCACAAAACAGATATCAGACAAGATCACAAAGAGAAAACAGTTTCTTGCCACTTTAACCAGAAAGGACACTCTCTAAATGACTTAGCCACCTGCATTCTGCTACAAAGACCTTTTACATCTGCACTTGAAAGGGAATCCTCTGAACTGTCATTCATGTTAAAATTCGACACTTACCACCAGGGACTTAACAAGTCTTTGAACTTTCTCACCCATTATCAAGACAGTTTCCCCAATTATCACCTGTAATACCATTAACTCACAAACATCCCACTCTCCCTACCTCTAATATCATCAATTCACAGACACTTACCTTCCTTCCTCCCCCTTCCCACCCCCCCGCATCCTCCTTCTGTTCTGCAATGTGATTTGTCCTTTTCATATTTGTTCATTTTTTTAAATTGTATCCTTTGGTATATATGGTTGTGACTACTTTCTTCCACTATTTGATCTGAGGAAGTGGGTCTGGCCCACGAAAGCTCATCATCTAATAAACCATCTTGTTAGTCTTTAAAGTGCTACATTGTCCTGTATTTTGCTTTTCTTCCCAGTAACCCTCCGCCATTATTCTTGTTACCTCAATTGCCCCACAATACGAACATTCCTATAGGTTATTCCTCATTCAGCATAGCTGTGTTATATATAGGAAGGGCTGTTGAAGGAGATTTAAAAGGGCTTGCTAGATGAAAGAATGCAAACTATCCACAATATAGAGAAAGAAGTGCTTACAGAATTGGCCTGTTTCCGGGCTTGGTTTATCAACTCTTTTATCTGAGAGATGTTTTTTCCCAAATTATCCTGAAGTTCTCTGATTGGTTTGAGTTTATCCAGGAGCCGATCTGCTTCCTTTTGTAGGGTTGTAACAGTGGCATCTGCATCAGAAACTTCATATAAAAAAATTAAAAAGGAGAGTCTAACAGAGTGGCTACAAACACCAATAACAAAATAAAAAAAACAGTTTCCTAAGACAATCAAGGGCACAATAATTTCCTAATTTCCTAATAATTTTAGGAAAGTTTTAGACTGATTTTAAAATTGCAGTACTAGAAAATAATAGAGGTATGGATCAGTAATTATGTCTGAGATTGGTATTTGTAGAATAAACTGTAGTACAATACAGCTCCAAGTTCAGAGTTTAGCTTTTTTCTTTATTCCTGATTTAATGAAACATGTTGGATTAAAAGAGTGATTCATTAGTTATTTGCACAATAATTAGAGAAATAATTTTTAAATTAGTTATAGGGTCAAAACTAGAAAACATTTTATCCTGATCACAAGTTTCAGATTACCTATGTACAGTGAGAAATGTGATTAAAGTAATATGCAAAAAAAAGCACCAGTGAATATATTTTCCCATATTTCAGATCAACTACATCAGATCATGTAAGGTCTCATCTCCTTTCTCCATTCTCTTTCCTTGAATGACTGAAATTCCTTACCATATACAGCCATCTAACAGTTCAACAGCTCTCTCAATTTTCCTCAACTTCTAGAAGAACTGACGAGTAAAAAATCTGACTTGCATGGCAGCAGGTGTCCAGAAAAGATAGTGTGTGTGAGTGGCCAATATAGTAGGGAGGCAAGCCAGTAATAGGAACGCAGCCTTAAAAAGTTTGGATGAGGTTCCAATAGACATCCAAAACTTGGATGTTTATCCAAACTGAATGAATTTGAGGTTCACTCTTCACTAGGCACAAGAGACCAGGCTCTTAAAAAAAAAAACCAAATGCTCCTTTGTTAATCTCTTTCTCCTTACTTTGAGATAAGGCATATGTGCTAATGGTACATCCTGCCAAAGTTATTTAAATCTTTAGCTCCATTGTTGCAGCATTTTAAAAAGTAAATATTCTAATGCAGCCCCAAATGTGGCATTGCAAAAGCTTTTGTGGTAGGCAACGAGTTATCAGTTACTGAAAACAGCAATATCTCTATCTTGCCTACAGAGATCAGTGTGTGTTTGTATGTACGTATAAGACAGAAACAAAAGAAAATACTGCAAGATAATTATTTTTAAAAGATGTGCAACACAGAAGCCACATAACTTACAGGACAGGATTTGTTTGAGAAACTCATCACCTACAATTCACTACCGAGACAGAAATGCATAACTAGAACATAGTTATAAAACTTGGGCAGTTTTGCTGTCACTTAAATAGGACATCTGGGTGCCTAACTGCCAGTCTGATCACTCATCCTCATGACCTAACTTTGGCTTCCAGCTTTAAGAAATAAACCCTTAGGTCTTTTTGTTGAGACAACAAGTTTCTGAACACAACTTATATATCTTATTATTGAACTATATAGTATGCTGCAATTTAAATTGTTGAACTTTTTCCACTGAACACAAAGGGTCTTCCAATGAAAATTTTAACACATTCATTACTATATGATAGCAAGAGTCACTTCAATAATAAAATGCATGCAAACACCCTCACTCAAAACACCTTTTTATTATCCTGCCTCAGAACTGTTTTTATTCTCTATAAAGAAGACAATAACCAATATAAAAGGTGGCATTTAATGTATCCAGTGTTCCCTCTAATTTTAATAAGGTTTTTTATATGCACCAATATGGGGAAGATGTGCAACACATCATCTGTGTATTGGTGCACATACAAAATTCACATGGCGGGGAATGGACCCAAGGGATTCTGAGTGTGGGAAAGGGCTTAGGTATGGGTTGAGGTGTAGGAGTGTGAGGATTCTTGCTGGGGATGTGGACTCTAGGGTGGGGAAGCTGAGGACTGCAGCTGGGGTTGAGGGACTCAGGTCTTGATCAGAAGGATTTGGTGTTCGATTGTGAAAGCACCAGCTGGGGGTGTGGGCTCTATGGTGGGGCGCGGGTTGAGGGGCTCAGAGTTGTAGTGAAAGATTGGGATGGAGTAGTGAAGATTCTGGCTGTGTGTGAGGGCTTTGGGGTGAAGCAGCAGCAGAGGGTAGAGCGCAGGGGTGTGAGAGAGGTCTCCAGACCATCTGGGCCATGGCTGGAAGGCTCTCGGTCTGGGCCGCTATGGTCATGGCAGTGAGTTCATGGCTGTCTGGGCCATAGCTGGGGGGGGCAGGGCCAGGTG